CAAAAGTGAAAGTAAAGACATTTATGATGTTACAAAATCTGTTTCAAAGAAATGCTATTATTTTCTGTTCTGTTATTCTCAATTCATCAAAGAATCCTGAAAAAAATGTATTATGATTTCCACAAAAATATTAAGCAGTACAACTGTTTTCAACATTGATAATAATGAGAATGTTTCTTGAGCAGCAAATCAGCATATTAGAATGATTTCTGAAGATCATGTGACACTGAAGACTGGAGTAATGATGCTGAAAATTCAGCTGTGATCACAGGAATAAATTACATTTTAACAGATATTCACATGGAAAACACTTATTTGAAATAGTAATAATATTTCACAATTTTTTATGCATTTTTGATCAACTAAAAGGGGTCTTTTATCTTTGAATAAGATCTACTGAGATGAACCTGCGGAACTATTTGAGGAGGTCCGAAAGTTCACGTCCAAGCAAACTTATTGATAGAATGCAGACCGTTGTTTATCTCTTCTTGGACGTACTCTGGAACGAGGTTAAGATGACCGGATTCACTAAGCCGAACTCTGAATCCATCTTTGGATCCATACAAGGCAAAACATCGCTATTGCTGTTTATCATACTTGGGGATTTAAGTATGACGTGCGTGATTCATCCAATCATGTGCCTTGTTTAGGAAAGATGTGTTGTTACTTTACCAAGTGATCAGACTTTGATCATGATTTTTGCCTGGTGTGTAATAAAAAAATGACAAGGGAAAAAAGGAGGGATATCTTGAGGAAGTTAAAAGCTTAAGCAAGCTCTTAGTGCCTTAAAGAGTCTACTAAAGTTACCTTGATGTTGTCTTTAAGTATATCCCCGTAATTACGTAGTGTGCATTGCAACAAAGTCCTTAGTAACCATTTCACCCTAAAAACAAATTAAATGACCAAAACAGGTCCCTTAAATCATCTGCTGATTTCATGTTAATTGAGGGGGAAGAAGAACAAAGGCACATTTTTAGTCATCAAAATAAGGTATTGTAAATATTTAAACTATGATATGATTTGTTTATTATCAAGACAACTTACAACAGCCTAGGGTGAAGTCATTGAGTGTATTAACAAAGATTCAGAACAAATATAATTTTAAGGATTAAGGATGGTCAGGTCACTTAAGAGTTTTCATGCAATCAGGCACAGAATATCAGAGACTTGAGCCAATAAGCAACCACTAAGAACAACATAGCAATACACTGAGAAAAATCTGAAAACCTTAGCAACCGCATAACAGCACCCTGACAACATCCTAGAATAATGGCATTAAGTTTTGCACAGGCAAGCATTGTCCTCAGAAGATCTAGTTTGGTGGTGTGTCCTTGATTTAAAAGTTCTGTTAAAAAAACACTCAGTTTTCATTTGGTTGCACCAACACAGGTTTCAGTCCTTGTGTAAAGAATGGAGACGAGGCGAGTCGGCCTATCAGAAGCATCTGCTATTCCTTTTCCCTGGATATGTGTTAATGTTAATGTTGACGTTGATGTTTGACAGGTTGTGGTCAACGGTGACATCACCACTCTGGTTCTCACCAGCCTCCGCTCTCAGACGGAGAATGATGTTGCCGTTACTCCCGTCTACGATGAGGGTCCAGCAAATCCCATGCTTGGCAGCGCAATAACTGCACACAGGTTTCAGTCCTTGTGTAAAGAATGGAGACGAGGCGAGTCGGCCTATCAGAAGCATCTGCTATTCCTTTTCCCTGGATATGTGTTAATGTTAATGTTGACGTTGATGTTTGACAGGTTGTGGTCAACGGTGACATCACCACTCTGGTTCTCACCAGCCTCCGCTCTCAGACGGAGAATGATGTTGCCGTTACTCCCCGTCTACGATGAGGGTCCAGCAAATCCCATGCTTGGCAGCGCAATAACTGGTGAGCTTATAATCCTCACTGATTCTCCAAGATGACACCAATTGACCGATGGTGTTGGTTTGGCAGCAGCAATTACTTCACGGCTGCCGGGTTTTGTTTGCTATGTTGGTGTTGAACTATGTGACTTACCGGCTACAAGAGAAACTTGTTTTTTTTTTGCTTGCAAACTTGGAATTTGCTTGCTCCAACTTGTCAGTTCACATGGTTCACAGTCCCCCTGTTCAGACCAATTTCTATATGTCACATACTTTCTCATTCAGATGTGGTTCCTGCGCCCAAGAACTTGAGGTTTTCTGAGGTGGGCCAGACTTCATTCAGGGCCACATGGGAGTCTGGAGTACCAGACGTTATACTCTACCGCATCGGTTGGATCAAGCAGGGCAAGAACAACTTCAAATACGTACGTTTACCAGTTAAATATTTGTACCAACATTTACATTTATTAATTTGAAAGACGCTCCAAATCAACCAAAGACTTTGGCGTTGCAACCCCCATTCGCTCTCACTCTTAAAAATAAAGCTTCCAAAAGGGGGTTTTGCAGCAATTCTATAGAACCATTTTTGGGATTCCCAAAGAAACTTTTTAGTGAACAGTTCTTAAAAAGAAACATTTTTTAACCTTTCGATCAATGCAAAGGTTCCATGGATGTTAAAGGCTCTTCATGAAACCACTGATGCCAATAAAAAAAACTTTATTTTTAAGAATGTACCATTGATTTTAAAGCAACATCAAATTACATTTTCATTACGAATTTAATGAACTCTCTAAAATAACATGAGACTCACTGGAATTGATCTTTGTAGGAAGTCCTGAGTCATGAAGAGACAAGCCACGTTTTGACAGATTTAGACCCAGACACAATGCATGACGTCACTGTCACAGCCATCTGAGTCGGAGAGCAAGGAACTGATGGGGAGCCAACGCACATGTGAGACTAACACACAAGACTAACACACAACTACACATGTAGAACACTAACTTTTGAGTACTGGGACAAAATCAGGCTTTGTGGTTTATCAGGCAAAATTCAGGTTTATGTTTAAAGGAATTCCAAACGGCCTAATTTTTTTTTCTTGCCAATCACTCAATATGTCAACACTTTTATATGCAAGAATATAAAAGTACTGTTCAAAAGTTTAGGGTCAGTAAGGTCTTGTAATATTTTAATAATTTTATTCAGCAAGAATGTATTAAATTGACATTTATAGATTAAAAATGCCAAACAATTTCCTAATAATTAGTATGCTGGAGACATATTATGGCTGTGACACAGAAAATAATATTACTTTAAAATATACACATATTTATACTTTTGTTTTTCTTTAGTTAAAATGTTATAGCTGTTGACGATACAATAAAATAACGTGTTGTTTATCTTTTTCTAGTGTCAAAGGTCATTACACCCGCTATGTTGTTTCCAATGAGAGGAAATGCAATTGTTAATGTAAATGCTAATGAGGATGATGACCGCAGGAAGATGACGAATTGCATGTGCATTTTTTTTGTTTCACCAGAAACTCATCCACCATCATTTGCCATCATCATTCATCATTGCCATTTCATCGCTATCATTTTGTCATCATTGTCATCCATCGTCAGTCATAAATGCGCATGCATAACATGCCCGACTGCATTGTTTTTGTTGCAAATGACCATTTCTCCAACCCAAAAACCCATGCGCCTCCATCCTCCTTTCAGGATTGAGCCATGATGCTCATGTAACCAGCATAAGGACTAGGGATGGTAAACAATAACCAATTCAAAAAAAAAAAAATAATAGAATTGAAGGATTTTCGTGATCTTTCATTCGTGAATGAATAGGTTCTTTTTAATGAATCAGTCAAAAAGACTCACACATCAGTTTGAATTGATTTAATAATTAATTGTATTTGTCCGATTTGTTGTTAAATTAATTACTGACTGCTTCTGCATATGATATGATTAGTTAACATATGGAGCTTTAATAATAAAATAAACATTATAATATCTTTCCAAAATAGTAGTTTATGTTCAATTTACAATTTGGAATTCGTTTGATTGAACATTTGGGCGGCGTTATGCAAATCTTCCCACATAGTGATGTAGACATGTGGGGGCGTGTTAGAACGAGCCGTTTTAGGTAGGTGTGGCTGACTCTTAACTTTTATAAAGAATATCTCTTTGGATTTGAGACTTTAGTCTTTGCAACTTTACAGATCTTCTTTATGCACCAAGAGCTTGTAACAAAGAGAAAGGAAAAATTGAAATCGCATCATATGACCCCTTTAAAAGCCCTAAAAGAACTGTTAAGGAACTGGATTCATCAAGTGGAATCAGAACCAGAATCGTTAAATCCCTCATGATTCCCATGCCTAATAGTTTTAGCTACAGTTCCAAAGCCAGATTTTGCTGATCGACCTTTCTGTCTGCTCCCAGTGCCCACTGGACCACCACAAAACCTCCAGGTTTTCAACGCCACCACTACAACTCTAACCGTGAAATGGGACCATGCACCAGGCCCCGTCCAGAACTACAAAATCACCTACCAACCCCTTGCGGGTGGAAAACTGCTGTCTGTAAGTTCAGCAGTCCCCATTCCCCCTCCACTGAGATGTTTTGAAGCAGGACATGGCTGATCTTTCAATTATGATGATGAGTGGCAGAATCTGTTTTAAGAAAGTTCAAGGCCCGTGTGTTAATCATTACAGCAAGCAAATGGGAACGTTGTGACAGAAAGTCATTGCCAACAGACTCATCTGATGCAAACCATCACAGCATATCTGTTATGTAGGCCTCAAGAATAAAAAAACATTACTGTTATGCATTTCATGTCAAGGCACTTGAGATGAACAGCCCAGCAAACATTTACTATATTAGAACTGAACACTGGCGCTTTCACTGGTTTGTTTATTAATGCAGGATGATGCTCTCTTTGGTCACGCAAAAATTGGTGCAAATTTTTTTTTTTAAATCATCCAAATGTAGTTTTTCTTCTGAAAACAGCATCTTCTGAAGTTGCCTTGTCCATGTGAAATATTGGTTAATGTTTATTTACATACTATTTTACTAGCTACTTAAGCTTTGTTTTAGAGTACTTTTTAGGATTTTTTTTTACTAGGAAATACTTTTGATCTGGATGAGGGAACTGATGGAGACATCAGCTGCAGCGTGAAGAACCACGTCAGTCACGCACAGAAGACCATTAGAGTCCAACCCTGTCCTAGTGAGATCAGTTCTGTTCATCTACAGATATCAACTACACACAGACTGATTGATTGATTGATTGTGTTGTTCAGTGTGTTCAGTGTCTGTGGTGTTCGTGCTGGTCTGGTGTCTTCAGCTGATGGTTCTGTTGGGTCTGTTAGGAGGTTTTCACATCTACATGAGACACACGTCAGGTGAGAGACGTTTATCATCATCATTATGGATTTGACATGCAGATATTAAGAGTGTGATGATGATGATGATGTGATGCTTTTAGGAAAGAAGCAGGACGATCAGAAAGTGAGGATGAGAAGATTTAGAGAAGGACATGAACACACAGCAGAAGATTCATGAGAGAAGCAGATCTTCTGTATTTTATATGATTTTTAACATGTTTAGACACAGATGTCTATTTTTTATTCATTTGTAAGTGGAGTCAGTTTTGAAATAAAAAAGTTTGGTATCTTTGGCATATGGTAAGTTAAATGAAAATAAAATGCTTTGAAATGAAACTGTATTTCCAGTCAAAAGTCACAAGTTCCTTTAATTTCATAAGAGTTAGGTTAGGTGGTCAAGGTGTCAATTAGGGTTAGAGGTTACTCCACAGAGTGCCTTTCAACCCTCACAATACTCAAAAATGTTGGTTTTAATTTCCCATTCACTTTATGTCAGAAATATTAGACACTCAAGTACTATAGAAACATATTAGCTGAGCTCCCACACATTTTTTTTAGATAATTATGGGCCATTATTTGAAGCATAAACCATAAGATATGACCACCCTGTCATGGACATATATATTACTGTTAAATATATTTTCATTGCAATATTAAGATGCAAATTATATTTTCTTAAAGGTGTGATGTCCCTTTCCTAAACAGGGTCATTTGTTTGCTTTCAAATTATAAATACATAAAAGATTTTATGTAAACCATGTGCTTTTAAAGAAACTCATACAATTCGCACATGTATTTTTGTCTTATTTGGAGAAAACTGTGATATTTGGATGCAGTTTTTTGTTTGCATGTTATTGCCCCCACACCTAGCTATTGAACACATTGGATTATATAGATATGATTGAATTATTAAAATATTATTTTAAAATATCAAGATGACAGGGTGGACCAGAACATGACAGGGTGGACACATAAAGCAGAACACACAAAGCATGACAAAAAATGACAATGACAAATTTATTTAACTTTGAAAAAATAATAAAATTACATTCTCGATCACATTGATATACCGCCCCCCCCAATCATTTTAGTTTAGTTTAATTCATATCGATTCAGTACATCTTAACTAAAAACTCCATGTAAACACCACATTATGAACAGAGCGAAACACACTTCTGAAAAGAAATCTAGATATACTGTTATTATTCAACTATGCCAAGGTAAATACAGTTTTCCATTCTATGGCACCTTTAAAGTGTGCTTCTCTTCATTCAGGGATTGCATCCCGACGTTTTCTGTATTGCCGTGCAATTTCTGCTGCACTCAGAGGCATGTCCTGAGAAAGAGCAATGATTTTTTTGTTTTTGTTTTTATAAATTACAAAATATTATCTACAGCAGATCTTCCTATAAGTTACAATATTAAATTTCTATAAATTGCAATATTATCTACAAATGAATGCTGTGTCCACCCTGTTATGTCTAAGTGGCCGACAGGGTGGACATTTTGAGCTTCAATTAGCATATTAGCTTACAACAAAGTCTGATTAGCTAAATAGTTAGTCTGGTTGCTGAAGAGAATTTGGTATATTTAAACTTACATATTTTGAAAATACTGTATTCTAATCACTTCTGGCATATTTTATGGCGACAGGGTGGACATGTTAAAGGCACAATATGTAATTTTCGCCGCTAGAGGGCGCGTATTCAAAATAAACAAATAGACAAAGGCGTAGTTTGATGACGCAGTGACTGAGTGTGGAATCATGGGAGTTGTGGTCTTCATCCCCACAGCCGAAGCAATCCGACGGGACCCGGGCAGAAATCATGTTCATGGATGAGCTAATGATTTATTAACGTAGTAGAATGAAGCAGGGTGAGGCTGAAAGCCGTCGAAGTGAAACGAGGCGCTGAACGAGCGTGACACACTGCTGGAAAGCAGCAGAGCTTTTATTATGCCACAGTCGACCGCTTCCGCTGCTTCCGGTCGTGCGTATGTGGGGTAAAGCAGCACTGTTTTATCATACTAGATACATTTTAGTTAAAATTGCTTATTTCTCTGGATTTAAACATTCTTCGAAACATTTGGGATAATGTAAGTACACAAGTCAGCAAAATATATAACACTGTTCTAGTGGTTTTTGGATATTTTAATAAAAAAATCTTACATATTGTGCCTTTAAGCTTTGGCAAAGCAAGTAAGCAAACTCATACGAAGAAAATTTGTCAATTGAAAAGTCACCGACTTACCTCAGCCGTTGAAATTTCTGCAACTGAAGAGACAAGAAATCTCTTGTCCTGACGTCACTAAAGGGGATGGCCTTTTCTTAAAGGGGCAGATTCCCCAATACGACAGGGTGGAAAAACTATTCTTTTTTATTAAATAAAAATATTGTTTTTATTACCAAATGATCAATACACTCAAATTGAGTTTAACAAAAATTTAACAAAATATTAATAGAGAACAACATTTTTTTCATTTTATGATTTGACTATATTCTACTCTCATTCAAATTTAATGAGCAGCGCATGGGACATAGCAAAATAACAAGCATCCTCTTATAAAAAACTAAAAAAAAATCTAGAAAATGTATCTAAAGAGCCAAGTAATACTTTTGTTATGAAAACATTTTTTAATTTTATGATTTGACTATATTCTACTCTCATTCAAATTTAATGAGCAGCGCATGGGACATAGCAAAATAACAAGCATCCTCTTATAAAAAACTAAAAAAAAATCTAGAAAATGTATCTAAAGAGCCAAGTAATACTTTTGTTATGAATATAAAAACTTAGCCTAATATAACACACCCTTTCATAGTCATTTGAAATGAGTATCAATCATGAGTTGTTTATGTACAGGACACCAAAAGGCACCCTACAGTGATATTGACCCAATAACACATTTAATTGCTTTAATTTTTGTTCTCATTTAAATTTTTATGATGAGAACTGATGAACAGAGACTGTGAGTACTTTTCATGTTCAACACACACCGCAGTGACAGCAGAGGCCACTAAAAACAACAAAATATGCTAGGGCTGGGTAAAACAAAAACGATTTCTCTATTTTAATAGATTCTCATTTTTATGAACCAATATCGATTCTTAAGTCCCAATCGATTCTGTATTCAGTTGATGAATGAACCGTACATATAGTGCGCCTCCCATCCAATAAATCGCAATAGGCTAAGCTTTGTGAGTTGTTACTTTTGATATGAAAACATCTCAGATTTCAAATTCTGTCTGAAATTCAAGCAATAAATACCATTTTGGCGCTCTTTAATGTGGCGTGATAGTTAGCTGTAGACACCTCAGATCAAGCGAAGCAGCAGCATAAACTAATCATCTCTTTCGCTTTAGTGGATACTCGCTAGGGATGGCCGGATCGATGCTTATCGATACTTTCGATACTGATGTTGTATCGAAAGTATCGATCCTCACATAAAAATATCGATTCTAAAGTGCATTTTGTAACCATTAATTTTACTTATTTATCAAGAAATTCACTGCATAAAATAAGCTTCTAAGTGGGAAAATAGACTATATTAGCGAATAATTGTGTTGGATGGATCCATTTCTCCTGCTCTTCTGAACACAGAACCAATCAATCACAGACAGCATTCGCTGCTGACCATAGACTGTAAAAATTCACCTTTAGGGGTACAACAGCCTGGCAGCCTTTTACAAAAAATAGCCATGGTTTTATTACAGTAACCACAGTTTATCATGGTAATAATAATAATAATACATTTTTGTACTTATGTAACACCATGTTTATTTTTCATGAGGTACCCTCAAAGGTGCACCTTTGTATCTTATCTACCCTTAAAGCATGCATACTTGTATGGTACTAATATGCTC